CTCTCCTTGATTAGTTTCCACCCATAGCTTCTTGTCCTTCCCTCAGGTGCCTTGGAAAATAGCTTGACTCCCTCTTCTTTGGGGCAACCCTGAGATATTGGAACTCTGCTATCATGTCTCCCCTGGTCCTTCCTTTCATTAAACTAGACATACCCAATTCCTGCAACCGTTCTTCATCTGTTTTAGTCTCCACCTAATCCTCTTTATTGCTCTTCTCTGCACTCTTTCTAGAGTCGTCTTCATCCCACCTTTTTTTAAAATGGAACAAGGTGGCAAATATTCTTAATAATATTTCCCCTTCGTATTTTCCCCACAGAAAGAACGCTGGGAGGTGGATTGGGCTGAAAGAGAATGACCCAAAAGTTACCCAGACAGTTTTCACAACTAACTATAAAACTATAAAATAAAATCCTGCCTTAGAGTTATGTCGAATACACAGTCATAGTTACAAAATCTGAACCATGATTAGATGCTACCTCTGCATTGGACCACAAATGCCTGAGCAGGGGGTTGGACTAGAAGACCTCCAAGGTCCCTTTTCAACTTTGTTATTCTATTCGAAATGCAAATCTGTGATTGTCGAAATTCATTTGGCAATAATTGGGATTGGGGAAGCTGGCTGCCTCCGTGTTTCTCTAAGATGCAGCGAGGCCTTCCTGGTGTATATTGACAGGATGAGAAGAGGGTAAATTAAAAATGTTGCAACGCTTTAAAATGCCATTAAATCTTGTTTTTGTTGGTGGCAGGTTAGCAGCAAAGATGAAGATTTTCTTGATCTCTCTGTTGATGTAGAACAGAACACGTCCATAACTCACTGTTTAAGGTAAACACATTTTCACAATGGCCAGCATTGTTTTTGCTTTACAGTCATTAAAGATAAGTGGGTTACAAAAAGAAAATAAAGTGATATATCGTATTTTTCTGAGTATAATGTCATCTCTAGGGTTTTCACTGTTTGACAGTGGGAAAACAATGGGGAAACATTACAAAAGCATTAATAAAGTCCAGGAAAAGCAAGGGGGGTGGGGAGTTAGAAAGAAAGAAAAATGTTAGAAAGAAATGTAGAAAATGTTAATAGTTTTTTTTTATTTGGAATCTTGTATGGCTTTTTACTGTTTTATATGTCCGCGTTTCTGTTAACCGCCTTACAGTCCGTGCTAAATTAGGTGGCCGTATGTATTTGTCAGATAAGTGAACAGGTAAAGAAATTGCAGGAAAGAGGGAATTGCACACTTGACATTTGTGTAACAGCCTCCCAGGCTTGCTGTTGGTGCATGCACCAGTATGAGTGCCTCAAGATCAATCCCCTACTCAACAGTGGGCGGGAAGCAGTGGTGGGTTTCAAAAATTGTTCGAACCTACTCTGTGGGTGTGGCCGCCTTTGTGGGAGTGGCTTGCCGCCCATGTGACCGGATGGGAGTGGCTTGCCACCCATCTGACCGGATATGAAGATGCCGATGACACTTGTCAGAACCACCTTAAATTACCTCACACACAGCACTGGCNTGGAAGGCTGAGTCAACCTTGAGCCGGTGAGATTAGAACCGCTGAACTGCAGATAACAGTCAGCTGAAGTGGCCTGCAGTACTGCACCCTAACCACCGCTGCCACTAGGCAGCGCCCGAGGGAGGGGTCAGACGCCATCATAAGTCATGAATCTAAGGCTAGCCCACCTTGAATTCCTTTCTGTGCTTAACTCCTGCTAATTTCCCTTGACAGTTAGCAGCTCAGACTCAACTGTTTCCAGCCCGTTGTAACTTTAAGTTGGTAGTCCTCAACTTACAACAGTTCATTTAGTGATTGTTGTAAGTTGAGGACCACCTGTAGTGTACATCCTAATACAAAAGATTTCATATGCTAGCAAAATAAAGATTAGAGCCCTACATGAGAAAAGTGAGTCCAGATATTTAAGCTGCTTTTTAAAAAGATCAAGAGAAAAAAAAGACATCATTGTTGATGTACACTGAATAAATGAGAAAACCAAAGAATACACAAAAGAAGTAAATTTGTGCTGCATTGATTATAGAAAAGTCCTTGATAATATCAATCATGTTAGTAGTTTAGATTCTTATATCTTTAATAAATAAATCTCATTTGAACTGCCTGAATTCCATGGTGCTTTACACTAGCCTCCTTTTAGCATATCAGGTGCAGAATTAAAAATTATTTGTCTTCAGTGAGAGTTGGGGGGAATAATAGCAGCAGGTATGAAACTTTAATAATATAATGAATTAATTGTTCGACGTTCTCTGGGCCAGGGGCTCTTAAACTGGGAGTTAATTTGGACATTCCCCAGGGGTAAAAGAGCAACCTGTAATCGCTGGTTTGTGGATCAAAAATCCAGTTTGGGACTTGTGTTTCTGTAAACAACGGAGTTTGTATGTTATTTTTTTGGGGGGGAGAAGAAATTACAGATAGTCCTCGAACTATGACCATAATTGAGGCTGGAATTACAGTTGTATGTCATGCCGGTCGGTAAGCAATGAACACGGCAGTCATTAACTGAATCCATTGGCTACAATGAGCATATTTTTTGCAGGGAACCAGAAGTATACGCCCATTTCTGGCAAAAAAAATAAATAATGACATAAATCAGAGTCATGGGACTGTGGGAAACTGGAAACACCACAAATGTAGGCTGGTTACTAAATGCCCAAAATGCAGCCACTTCAGAGGTGGGTTCCTACCGGTTCGGCCGAGTAGGTAGTAACTACCGAGAGGTAGTAACTACTGAGAGAACCGGTTCTCTCGGCGGTGCCAAAGGCGCCCCATCTTGTTCTTTGCTTCTGTGCATATGCAGAAGCATTTTTTTTAGTACTGCACATGTGCGCATACTGCACATCAAGCGCACGCGCAGTGCGTCCCTGAACAAACCAGCAGCAGCCGGAACCCACCCCTGAGCCACATGACTTGAGGGGGGAGGGGCAGGAGTCAGTCATCAGAAATTCAATTCCAGGTCATGATCAGCGCTGGGAAAGTCTGTTGTAACTTTGGATGGTTCTTAAGCCACAGGCCATAAGCTGAGGAGTCCTTGTATTGGAGACTGGGGAAAGAGTTAATTGGGTCAAACAGTTTAAAAACCTGTCTTAGACTTTGGGGTGTGTTTTAAATTTACTTTTTTCTTATGGCTATCTTTCAGATTTTTCAGGTTGGTCCCCCCAAAAAATGGTCAGGCTAGTTAAATGTGAATTTCTATGGATGATGATGAAAATCAATACAATACAATACAATACAATACAATACAATACAATACAATACAATACAATACAATACNCATGCCAGTTCATTGGCTGACCTGTTACCATGCCAGTTCATTGGCTGACCCGTTACCATGTCTCTGCCGGTTCATGAATACTCTGACACAACTGAAACTAGAATTTTGGTTGTTGAGTGAAGTGATGGTTACGCGAGACCACTTTGCTCAATGACGGCAATCCCGGCTCTCCGTTGCCCTCGTTAGACAATTGTATGGATCATTCATGGATGCCTCCGGGTGATGGAAGCCAGGACCTGCTGCCCACCCCACCGTGCCCAGAAAGCCTTGACCTGTTACAGGGCCCAGAAACGTGCATATATTGGTCCCCTTAACTTTGCATTTTTCTGCAGCATGCCCAGCTAATGTGAGGAACACCCTTTCTACAAAGACTGCCTTGCGCCATTCTGCAAGTGGGTGTTCAGCTCTTCCGTGCACCCAAAGGAATTCCTGTGGGGTGCAGAAACAGAGGACAGGCCTTAAGGAGAAGTACAGGCCTTTGTGCCCAGAAGGGAACTCCTCTAGTGGGAAGCAGAAAGGGAGCTTAAATCTTGGCAGAAGGATAACAATTCCCTTCAGCCAGTGCCCAGAGACAAGAGGGAAGTTTATCGCCAGGAGGCAACCTTCATGGCCAAGTTCTCATTTAACGTTCTAGGGAAGCCGGTAGAGAGGATTGCAGATAACAATCTCATGATTGCGGGGAGCTTGGCAAATGATGATAAGTATGAGCCAAGCCATCATTCCATAGGCAGCGCAACATTTTGGGACAGCCAGAAGTGTTTTATAGACTGTGCAGCACTCTTTCCAAGGCCACCTTAATTTGGAAGAGCCATTTAACAGCTACCATGTTTCCCTGAAAATAAGACCGGGTCTTATATTAATTTTTGCTCCAAAAGATGTGTTATTTTCTGGTTAGGTCTTATTTTCGGGAAAATATGCTGTATTTTTCGGAGTATAAGACGCACCTTTTTCCCTTAAAAAAGAAGCTGAAAATCTGGGTGCGTCTTATACACTGAATACAACATTTTTGCCTCCCGAAACACCGCCCCTTCACCAAAATTGCCATGCAGAGCCTGTAGAAGGCTTTCAGAGAGCTCCTGGTGGCGGGGGAGGGCAGAAATGATAAACAAATGGGCTATTTTTTGCTCAATTTTAAACACCCCCCCCCTGCCCCCAGGAGCACTCTATAAGCTTCATAAAGGCTATCCATGCCTTTTTGACAAAAAATGGGCCTGTTTTCACAAAAAATGGGCTGGTTTTCGCTCGTTTTTGCCCCCCTACAAGCCTCCTAAGGGCTATCCAGACCCTTTTTGGAGGGGGAAACAAGCCTGTTTTTGTGAAAAACGGGCCGTTTTGGGGAGCTTTGCAGAGTGCAAACACTTTTTTAAAAAATTTGCCTCTTTAAAACCTTGTTGTGTCTTAGACTCCAGTGCATCTTATACTCCAAAAAAATACAGTAGTACTAAATGCATCGGTCAGGGTGACAATCTTAAGTGGGGTTTATTTTGGGGATAGGGCTTATATACGAGCATCCTGAAAAATCATGCTCGGGCTTATTTTCCAATTGGGTCTTATTTGGGGAGGGGAAAGATAGTAGTCATAACCCAAGGGATCTTTGTATGCAAACATGTAACGTGTGTACATACTTTTAATGTACAAATCTACAACTTTGGAAAAGGTTTAGCGATTAAATAAGCGCACACCTGAGAGTGACTTGTGGAAGACACACACCAGTCTTTGCCCAAAGACAGCCCTTCTCCATTGTTGAATGAGGCAGCCGCGTCTTTTTTCAGGCTTCTGGATGAAAAAAAGACGCCACCAATTTAAGAAGTCAACTTGTTTTAAGTGTACCTTCTTAAGCAGAGTTGCCTTTCTTGCATTGGGCAAGCTGGAGAAAATTGTGGCCACTTTAATAAGAACAACCAATCCAAGGCAGCCACTAGATGGCAGCAAAGAGATAGGGAGAAATCTAACTTTGGGCGTCCTCTAGTGTGGTGCAGATATTTTGCAGCTCTAAGAATTTGCAGAGGAGCGTTACATTTGCTTGAAGTTTGTGGATCATTTCTGAAATGTGTAGTTTAAAATCCAAAGTTTTTTTTTATGATTTTAGGCTAGGTGTGGCATCTGATGGAAGAGCAAACTCACAGAGAGCTACTCTTCATAGCTGTAGGAGACGACCAGGCAATAGCAATAGCAATATAGCAATAGCAGTTAGACTTATATACCGCTTCATAGGGCTTTCAGCCCTCTCTAAGCGGTTTACAGAGTCAGCATATNTGTCATTCTGATTGGTTGTCAGACTCCCATGGGGCAACTCTCAAACAGGCTGTGTTTTGAGTCCACGTTTGGTTGAGCATTGCTTCTTCCCAGGTGCCCCGTGGTGAGACGGATAACGGGCTAATACTATCATGCCTTAATCCCACCACCCTGGAGCTGAAAGGGGGAAATCTTTGTTATGTAGAATAGACCGGCTCAGGCATTTTAATGGCCCATTGACGAAGGTGGGGGCTGTTAAGTCTGTTTCCTGCCTAAAAACCATGTTTCTCCATTTCTTATCCAGGGAAATGGTAATAGTCTGCCTTTTCAATATTTCCTAGGGTTATTTCATTCTTCTAGGAGAGGGGGTGGGTGCTAACTTCCTACCGTGGCAGCTGTTCATTGTATTCAGAGTCCAAGCTAGGTTGATGAAGAGATGCCTGGAGACAGAGAAAACTCCCTGCTGTCTAAACTACGGGAGGGGAGCCAAACCAGGACATTTCCTGCGTTGTTAAATCCAGAGATTCCTCTCGCCAACAATGAGCCAGGTGAGAAAAATAATCACAGGACCAGCCTGTGAAGCTGCTGCCCTTGATCTGGCTCTCGTCATTGGCCCTGTCAGTGCAAATAAGTGCAAAGAGATGATTCAGTTCCCCCAACAACACACAAAGATTCAAATGTCATTTTCTTTTTTTCTTTTTTTTAGTGAAGAGGGTTTTTGTTGTTGTGGTTGTTCATTTTAAATGGTCTTTTTTGAAAAAGGTCAGAAAGAAAGAAATCCAGCCAGCATGACATGGCAAATCAACCTTGACATTTTTTTTTGGCCCCCTCTCCCTGCGGGCCATCCTGGTGGTAAGCAAACAGTGGATAGAAATGATGAGAATCTGAGGAATATTGCTCTGGCCCAGCTCCCCAAACACAGCAGACCGTCTGAAGTCCACTCAAATATTCCTTTAATTAGGAGCCCCAGCATCCACTGCAAATAGTTTCTGTCAGGGTCCCGAATAGCATCCAAAATTAAATCTGAGCCCAAGGCAAAGTATTGCTCANCTTAGTGATAGTCGTAGGTTACTAATAAGCAATCAAATCGTACTAGGAAACAAATAAATTGTAAAGATACAAGCAACATGGTTATAGTCGTAAGTGGGAAGAGATAGGTACTAGGAAGGATGAGAAGAATAATACAGTCTTAGTAGATAATTTGACAGTGTTGTGGGAAATAGTTGTTTAGCAGAGTGATGGCGTTCGGGTAAAAACTGTCCTTGTGTCTAGTTGTCTTGGTGTGCAGTGCCCCATACTGTCGTTTTGAGAGTAGGAGTTGAAACAATTGATGTCCAGGATGTGAGGGGTCTGTAGATATTTTCCCAGCCCTCTTTTTGACTCTTGCAGTGTACAGGCCCTCAATGGAAGGCAGGTTGGTAGCCATTGTTTTTTCTGCAGTTCTAATGATCCTCTGAAGTCCGTGTCTGTCTTGTTGGGTTGCAGAGCCAAAGCAGATAGTTTTGGAGGTGCAGATGACAGACTCAATAATTATTGCAGGAAATAGATTGGTTGTGTTGAAAGCCAGACAGAAAAGGCAATCGGCTTGCTCAGATTTTTGGAAGGAAGAGATAAAGGCTTCTGTATTGATCTTTAGCCCCCCCCACAAAAAAATTCCCACCTGCATTTTAGTGAGAACGAAACAAATGAAAAAGGTCTCTTCTCTTTTTCACCATCTGTCAGTATACAGATGTTTGCATAACCAATTTTGTGTGTACTCTGGCAGCTACAAAACATGTTTGTGTATGAGGAGAATTTGGCTGGCAGCTTTCGCTTCTCTGCAATAAACACAAGGTCACACTAAACATATCTTGTGTAACCTGAGCACTGCTCCCATACAATCCATGAAATATTCAGGTGTGGAAATGACCTATTCTTAGAAAACTAACTGATCCCTTTTCCACATTCCCCAAAGTTGGGCAATTTGTCCCATCACGAAACCTTCAAATGGAGCCTTTTGCCTAGTGCAGGAGCGCAGCTTAGCTGATAAGAACTGTCAGAGAGATCATATCTTTTAAAGGACTACGGATTGACTTAGTGAGAAGGAAGGAAATGGACATTTTTTTCTCTCTCCTGTGCTTGTTGTGGCCTGCCAGCGGAACTGGCAGCAGATTCGGTCAGTGAGGAGGTTGGGGAGGAACATGGGCCAGTCCTGGAGTATGAGGGAGGCTCTGATGAAGGCTCTGTGTCGGAGGCAGAGAGGGGGCCAGAGCCATCTGACAGTTATCAGCTGCCTTCAGAATCAGACATCAGTGAGGCAGACAAACAGCTGGAGCCTGTTCCCAGTGTGCGCATGCGCAGAATTGCCAGACGAAGGGAACAGCTAAAGAACAGGGGTTCGACTTGGGAGTAAGGCCACAGGTGGACGGTGAATGGCCCCTCCCAGAGGTAATAAAAGAGGAGCGAAAGGGGAGTGGAGTTTGCAGGAGACTATTAGTTCATTCCTGCATTCTTGCCAAGCATTGCGGCGTCTGAAAGATATCAGCCTGGCCGCTATCCAAGCCTGATAAAGGCCGGTAATTGTGAACTATCTTGAAAGACCGTGGGAGAGGAAAGACTTTGCTAGAGAGGAATTCACTGTCAATTAAATAAAAGGGTTTTGTCGGGACGAGGACCCAGCTTCGTGCTGCTGGGGAAGCCTAGTTTAGGACAGTGCTGGAGACAAATAGCCTAGTTAAGATACACTCATTTTGTGCTTAAAGAGCCAAGGTGGCGCAGTGGTTAAATGCAGCACTGCAGGCTGACTGCTAGATCAGCAGTTCAGCGG